TCCTCAAGAGATGTTCTTTGGGAGAATAAGACTAAGTAGGTGACAGACTTCAGTCAGAGACATTCAGTTCTACACATAAAAGAACACCAAAAAAATCCCAGAAATGAATCTTCATGTACGCTTCTTAGAGGAAGTGAAGGAAGGACTGCAAATGTTTGACAGGAATTACAGGTTCCATGGCTTCATTAGCACATTGACTCACAGGTCCCACATGGTGATCTGTCTTGTTTGGGATTTATTAGAAGGTGGCTGCATCTTGGTTTCACTCCTTGCTGATTGGTTTGCTGAGATTTGAGCTCATCATTTCTCTGCCTCGTTGCTGTCTGTTAGGTAATGCTGAAAAATAATGAATCACATTGGTCTTTTTCTTATCCAAAGATATATGTGAGTTTGGATTTACTGGAGTAACAGAGAATTTGTTCGGGTAAACCTCAATTTCTGTGTTTTTTTTCACAGCAAGTTAGAAAAATAACTGTATATTTGATTTATGGCTCTCTTTTTCCTTATCTCCAGTATTTAATTTCTCATAATAAGAGAGATAAGAACTGTATTTGAATGCAGATCACAAAGGTTTCTGAGTACAGCCTGAAAATCTTAAGCACCAGAGCTTTCATTCTAGAGGCTTAGTTTCAGTCTCTGCTTTATCTTAATCTCTTTATTCAAAATCTTTTATAGATGTTGACATATGCCTATCTGTCTACAGTTCTTTCAGGAAGAACTAACATTTGAACTACCGAAATCTTGGTTGTTCCAGAGAGGAAATTGTATGCCATGACATGTTTGCCATTTATGTAATGCAAAACCAGGTCTATACTGACTCAAAAGCATTCTATACTGAATACTTATTGCACATCTGTGTATCTCATATTTCTCTGATTAGATAAAATTCCACTGGAAAAATAAAATCTTACTGTATTTTGCATATAGCAAGCAGATAATAAGACAGAGGTAATGCAAATACAAGAAGTTATCGCCAGGCAAGCCAAGCAGTGGATTTACAGTACCATGGTGACAATTGTGCACAGTTTGAATGCACATAGTTTGAACCCTTTTGTAAATGTGAGATAATTTCCCCTTCTCCTCCAGATGACTGAACTGTCCCACAGTCTCTATGGATAGGCATATGCATACATGCCATTCTTATGGAAGAGCTGACATTGTAAATTTATCCGTGGGTTATCCAGTGCACTGGCACTCTGAATTTTCCGTACTGGAACAGTATCAGGTTCCATAACAGTACCCAAATGGAAGTGTAAGGTAGGATGGTAGGTCTGAGATCGTGCTAATCTGTCAGCATGTAGTGTACAAACATATATCAGCAATATAAGTTTAACAGTATCTCCACAGGTTTACTAGAGTACTTTGCCAAGGAGGTTTGTACACAAAAGTACAAGCTTTCTTTGTCAATCTCTTCTGCTCAATAAATTCGCCACTTCAAAAATATATGGCATTCATTGTGGCAACAAATAGTGTGAAAAATGAGGTGCTATTAAGAAGAAGAATTAATTAAATGATCATTTCTGGCTTAATATAAAGGCAAAACACACACATGGGGACAAAGTAATAAGGGGCGTATTAATCCACAGAAATGCTGGAGTTTCCCTTTTGACAGGGAAGTACTTACATTTCTACCATAGGAAGAAGTAAGTCATTAATGAGATCATCATTTGTGCTGAATGTGTTCCTACACACATAAATACAGTGAATGGTATTAGATAGACTTCAACTGGTGTAATTTAGACTACATCAGATTAATTCTGATACAAATTACAAAGCGCATAAATTGTTCTTAATTTTAAAATAATTTTTAGGAACAACTAAATGCAATTCACCTTAATGAAAAAATGCAGTGATAAGGAATAAAATCCATAAAGTCAGAGGGAGTCAGGGCACTTGAGTCCTTCCCAGCGCCTTCTCAAGATGAAGTACTGATGATTTTTCCAAGCTGTAAGTCTTCCAAACGGCTTAAGGTATGCTACTTCTTTTAAGCCCAAACAGGCAGCTAGGGAAGAGTCTCCAAGTATTCAGAGTTAAGGAACTGGGCATAAAACCAGAGTTCTGTATAGAGAGAAGATAAAATACAGGAATGCAATAAGGTAATAAATACCAATTCAACCATAATATAGAAGATTAGCTTCTTATTTACCTTAGACAGGCTCAGTCAAGTAATGGGTTTTATTTTTGTCACCCCAAATACGAGACTAGATGCAATAATACAAGTCCTTAGATCATGTTAGAGACCAAAGATTTGTTCTGGTTTTTATTTTCTCTTCCTCATATTCTTTTCCTTAGTAGGGAGAGGGAGATAAGGTAAGCACTGGATTTATGCAGGATACAGTACAGATCATTTTGCTTAGCAAAATAAAAATAAATCACAACTACTTTCTGAATATACCACTTTTTCTGTCAGAGCAAACTTCAGATTGCCAGCATTTGTTTCCCAGGGTTTTCTGTGACATCAGACCTAATCACAACCTATTCTGCTACTTAAAAATAGGGGACCCTGGCAACACTGCTTCCACTCTCCAGTCACGGGGCAGCAAAGCAACTGCAGGCTATTGCATTTGGATTTGTCAGAATAAATAATTAAGAGGCTCATCAGCTTCTCACTAATGAACAAGGAAATGTGATTAAGCAACTTTAAAAAAGAATGGCTGAAGACAATATAGAAATGATAGCAGGATGATTGCTGTGAATGAGAGACTGAAATTTCTGAATCAGAGATTTCTTCAACAAGACACAAGGACAGTAGTTTAATCTTCCATTAAACGATTCCTGCCAATTTGGAAAAGCTCTGAATCAGGACATTACAGACATCTCAGAAGCTGACAAGGCAGTCACTTCTCTTAAGACAGCTACTTTCTGGCAAATGCTGAGAAATAACTTTTTCTTTTTTTTACTGGTTCAAGGCTCTTAACTTCTACGAAACAATGACTAGGACGTCTCTGACTAGGCAATCTTTTATTCTCAAAGACTCTGAAAATACAAATCGTCTTTCAGACCAAAATGTTCTAGAGATGCTTGCCAAGTTTACTGTGGCTAACATCTAGAAATTGTACTGATTAGCTTCTGGCAATATTCCTTGAAAGTGCTTTGTGTGCTAGTATCTTATTAAATATCTTATTCCTCTTTATTATTCTTTAGCACCAAAAAATGTACTTCCACCTTATATCTAATCTGTTTCTATGCTTTTACTGTCTGCTCTCCTAGCTTATCTAAAGGAGATAGCACATAATATGGAAACTTGAAGCAAAGTGAAATAACAGAAGTTGCTGTAATTCTTCTGTATATCAGGAGAAAGACACTGTCTTTTTTTCCTTTACATACATTCATAAATATCACAGTCTTTTTATGAGTAAAGGCACAAAAGTCGACAAGGAGATTACAAGATTTCTGTCCCAAGGGTGGTTATATCAGACTGTAGAAGATTCCAGATACTCAGATATAAAAATGGTATGCACAGAAGTGTGAGATTCATAGTTACACAATTTAAAAAAAAAGAAAGCAAATGTCAGACATCTTTGTAGTTACAGAAATGCTTATGTACCTCAAATAAGATACTCAACATTACAGAAAATACTCTAGGTCTAAAACCCAGGCAGAAAAATACTGCTCTACTTCAAGAGGCTTTTGAGGAAATTATTCTTTCCTTTTTTTTTCCACATGATGTAGACCCACCATAGTGCAACACATAGTATGCGTAATAGAAACTACTTTGGATTTTCAGCCAAAATTCCAGCTGTCTCCAGTGGAGATTTGATTGGGTTTAAACATGTTGTTAGTCTTCAGGTCTCTCCCTGTGTTTCTTACAATACTTTGAGATCATATTGTTATCTTCTAATTGTCTTCCATAAAGATGCAAATTTATAGGTTTTCAGTTTCTACTTTGAAGGTTACTTGTACTTTTCTTGTTCCACGTGATAAATTAGTTTGATTAGGGTTAGGGTTATTCCTTTTCTCTTGCCATATTTATTGTCATACCCAGTTACTTGTCTCCTGTCAGCAGTTTATCCCAGTGAATATCACAACCTGCTTCTTCGTTTCAGATTACATATGTTCTCCTTTGAATGAAATGGCTGGTTTTGTATCTGACACTTATGTTTTAGCTTCCTGCAGAGAATCAAAATATCCCCAAAGCCATAGGTGCCCATGGTATATCATCCTATGGCATATCCTCTGAGCACAAGAATGAGAAGCCATTTCAATAGGGACATATAACAGAGACACAACCTCCTTTCAGAAAGCAGATGTAGAAGAGGTCTCCATCTGTCAGGAAATCTCTGAAGTCCTCTTTTCCAAACTCCTCAGCGTAGGGGAAAAAGAAAAAAAAAAAAAGCAAAGAAAGGCAACATATTTCCTCTTTATGCTTTTTCCAGGCCAAGTTCTGTGAAAACTTCTCTGCAAAGCTTCTCTGGAAGGGTGTGCATGGGTGTAGCCAATAAGGCGTTCACAACATCCTCTTTCTTTTTCTTCTGCAAAAAGAAGAGCAGGCTTGGAAGAATGTTTCTTCACTATTCAAGTAAATTCCCTGTAGACTAACACTTGTATTTTGTAATTTCATTTAGAATTTTATGATTTTTGTTCTATCTTAGACATAGCAATTTGCTTTCTGTGCTGTGCGAGGATTGATGCCTCATTCCGATGTTCTCCAGAGCCAGATCTGGAGCAAAACTTGCTTTTCAAATTAATTGTGCCAGAATGTCTTAGTGATATGTATAGGCTGGAACTATCAATGTTGTAATGCACGTGAATCCATTTCAGTGTAACTTTAGATTTCTACAGTAGATTAATTGTAGATAAATCCTTGGTGCAACAGTACTTCTGAAGCTTTTGTATGAGGAAAGAAACTTTTGCAAATTGTATATTCATTTAAATGAACCCAAAACTACCAGTTTTGTGCTAGTTACTTCGCAGCTACACCATTCTGAAAAATCATCTTTTTTTTTTATGTTTCCATAAAAATAAGGCATCTGACATGTACATGCACTTTTCTTTTGTAGGTGGAATGGAGAAAATAAAACAGCATACCTTTGCATTAGCTCACTACACCTATACTGTGCTGTCTACCTTAAAATATGCCAATGGGGCTCCTGTAGTACGTATTTACAGTGATACAGATTTCAGCAATCCTGATGTCCAGGGTCCAATCATTAATTTTAACGTGCTCGATGAAAATGGAGAGGTGATCGGCTTTTCACAGGTATGTTTTTCTCTTGCCTTAACTGAGCGTTATGTATATATTTTAAGCATATCGACAATGAGTTCTTTATCCTAAAGGAAATATTTTGTCCATAGTGGTCCCTTCTGAGGTTTTGGTTTGTTTCTTTGTAGCTCTGTGTAATATATGCACACCATTTTTAAAGTAGTAGAAAGAGAATCCAATAAATAATGCTAACACAATGGAAAGTACATAATAGCGAAAGCAAATATCTTACAGATTTAATACTCTACACACAGGAAATTTGAAAGTGGGCTGTTTTAACAGGATGCATTGACTAGGCAGTTTGGTTTCTTGTTGACTTCCTTCTCTAGAGTACTCAAAACGGGGAACTGAAGAGCAAGTCTAGAAAAGCTGATATAAGAGACTGCCGTGGAGCTTTGGCATACAAGTGAAGTCAGATCTCAAAATATTGCAGTCACCCATGAAAGAGGAGTTCTCTTTTCTCTTCAGTTCTAATAATTACATTCTTGTAATATTCCTGAGGAAGCATGGAATAAAGTTGAATGATCAGTGTAAGGAGTGAGATTCAAGCTCAAAAAATCCTTAAATGCTATCTTTCTCAACAGGTTTCTCTAGTCTTTATCCACCAGGTATGCTGAGTATCTGTAAGATGAAACTTTGTGCAACTTTTTTGCCTTCAGTATAGCGGTAATGGTGTATGACCATAATCGTGTATGACTGTGCACTGTGCAGGCAGTGGGTAATGTAGGGTAACGTAGCTCACTTCCTCATCAGCAGAAGTCAGAAAAAACACAGTGCTCTAGTTTTGCTTAATTCTTCTGTTTTTCACTGGCTTTTGATTGAATAAGCCCACAAGTCAAGTTCAAGTGTATGACCTTGATTTTTTTAAAAGCTGTCAATAACTGGCACCGCCTGTCTCAGCAACTACCTCCCTCTGCCAGCAGTAGTGGCAGAGCTGCATTGCTGTTGGAAGCTGATAATTCTGGACCATTAGGGAGAGAGTGGGAGTGCTCCAAAAGGCGTTCCTCAACACTCCTCTGCCAGAGGCGAGAAGAACTAGATAACGAGGCGAATGCAGAGACATGTCTACAAGAATACAAGAGGAGATCCATATATACACAAGGGAGAACAGAAGTGAAGCAGTTACTTTGTAGCCTGTCGATATAGAGTTTTACAATTTTTTTTAAGGCATTTACCACACTGATGAACATGGGATGGGCAAATGTATAGTACTGGAGAAGCTCTTCTTCTCATATGTCTTTTTTTGGACTATGCTACCAAATTGTCTCAAATGTTCACCACATTTCATTTCAAAGAATTCCACATTTTAGGAGTGAATTAGCCATTTATACAGTCTTGAATATGTGTGGCAATGTTCAGAAAAGACTGAAGATACTAACACAGCTGGGTTGGTAAAACACTCTGCAAACACTCTGATGTTGCTTCTGTCCTTTGGTTAAAACCAAAACCTTTATTTGCACTTCTGATTTTCACCATTTCTTAGTAAAAATGGCTCTTGCTTGTTTCACTTTTTTAAACTCAACTGTACCCCCCAAAAAAAAAATTTTATAGTCTTATGCCTCCATTGTGCCTGTTTGCTGCAGTGGCTGCTCATAAAAAGCTTCTTTATTGATCTGTATCATCTGGATTGTGCTATTCACCAGATTCTCGTCATTTCTGGCATGAATATGTAGAATGAAGAACTATAAAGTTTTCAAATGCATACCAGTCACATCTGCAGTGCCTGTTAGATTACTTTGTTTAATTAAAATAATGTGCAGTTTAATGACTTTTAGAAATTAACAAGCAACAGCGCTATTCTTTCCAAAGCTATAATACGTGTGATATATATATAATTGGCTTCTTTATGGAATGAAATTCTTTCATAGACATCTTACAGCAGTTATGGGGGAGAAAAATGTTTGCTGCTTCTTCATGATTACAAAGAAAATACATACATCAGAGAGTAAGCTTCATCAAACTGACAATATAATCTTATCTTCATACCTATATGCATGTCTAAAATTAGATAGGTTAAATCAAAGTTAAATCCAATACTTCCGTTAATGGTTTAGAAATGAAATAGTGTCCTCTAGTTTGGTCATGTCTGTGATCTGCACATTCATGTGGATTCACTGGTCAGTCTCCAAATGCAATCTAGTGGAGTCAGGAGACCACAGTTTCAGAAGGCTCCCAGCAAACATTTACGGGAATTTTTAAAGAAGGGAAAATTGGATGTTATTTCCATCTGACATACCTGCTACTAGCGGACACCAATTAATGACTCAGGTTGTATTTCAGCTAGTATATTAAAAGAAAAATGACAGAATGTCCTATTCCTTTATGGATGATATCTCATCTATAATTAATTACTTATAACCAAGCATCCAACCAGTTCTATTTGTCTTTCTGACAGGCAATTGTTATGTGCCCATTGCCTGTTAGAGGGCACTGTGTGGCTGGACATTAGCATTTGGTAGCCTGAAAAGGAGAATCTGACTAACCGATTCCAGAGAAAATATTATGACAAGGTTTGGAGCCGTTTATTTGGAACATTTGAGATTGGCAAGAAAGGCTTCAGTGTCAGTGTCTTCAGAGGACACCAAGTTTACATTTAAGCCTCAAGATTTACATAATTTACATGATATTCAAAACTCTGAACTAAGTCCAAGATATTTAGGATGTGAAAGGCATGTAGTGAAATACACGACATTTAACACTGCCACTGAAAAATGAAAGCAGGGAAAAAATGATGTCTTTCATCTGTGTAGCATTTGGGAGGAAAGCTGTTCTGACCCGCTTCTGTTACTGAAATCCATTTCTCACTGTTATCAGAGTTTAATTACCAGAGCTAACAAGATTGTGTCACTAAACACAAACATGCTTGAATTACATACATGGAGTCAACTGCACCAACAGGAAATAGCCACAGTCTCAAGTTCATCCTTGAGTAGAACCTTCATTGCAGCACTCAAGATCAAATGAAGGCATTTCATTGAAGTGAGACACACAAATGAAGCCATACCATGATTGCACTCTCAGGGATGGCAGTGTTTTTGACAGCCTCCTGTCCCAGTATATATGATATAGAACACTCAGATGTTAAGAAGTGATAAGATGGGAGTGAAATAATTATGGAAGTTGAATTGCTATTGTACTTTTTCATTTAAATATTTCTCTGTGATTGTTGAAGGGTATCACTGTTTTAGAGTATTATATTTGGAATAAACTTGCTTTGCATACTATATGTATCTTTGATTTAATTGACAGTTTAATTACTAGTTTAGTTATTTTGCTCTAAATGGTAACTAAAACAACTAAAGAAGAGGGACTTGCAGGCTTCAAACACCAACAGTCACTCAAAAGCTTTGGTTTTTCCTCAGGTTTTTCATGAAACATTTCTTTATCTAGGGATAAAACTCCTACAGTTTTGAAATCTCCATAAACCTCTTGTCTTTGGGCACTAAAACTACATTAAATTTCCTCCTTTGAGCTGCACCAAATACTTCCCATGAAAATTATCTCCTTCAGTAAAGCTGTCTTGTAGACTACTATTGGTAGTAATTTGTTCTTATAGAATCATAGAATATCCTGAGTTGGAAGGGACCCACAGGGATCATGGAGTCCAACTCCTGTCCCTGCATAGGACAACCCCAAAATTCACACCATATATCTGAGGGCGTTGTCCAATTGCTTCTTGAATGTTGTCAGGCTTGGCGCCATGACTACCTCCCAGGGGATCTTGTTTCAATGCTCCACCACCCTCTGGGTGAAGAACCCTTTCCTAATGTCCAACTTAACCCTCCCCTGGTATAGCTTCCTGCCGTTCCCTCGGGTTCTATCATTGGTTGTCAGGGAGAAGAGGTGAGCGCCTGCCCCTCCTCCTTCCCTTGTGAGGATGCTGTAGGCCGCGATGAGGTCTCCCCTCAGTCTTCTCCAGGCTGAACAGATCAAGTGACTTCAGCCGCTCCTCGTACGGCTTTCCCTCTAAACCCCCCACCATCTTCGTGGCTCTGCTCTGGACGCTCTCTAGTAGCTTCGTATCCTTTTTGTACTGTGGTGCCCAACACTGCACACAACGCTCAAGGTGAGGCCGCACCAGTGCAGAGTAGAGCGGGACCATCACCTCCCTCAACTGCCTAGAAATAGAGCGCTCGAACCCACGCCTCCAAGGGAGACTGCAAATTGAAATTCTTGAAGTTACTTGGGAGGGTAGCTGTGTTCTTTTTACACAAGCTGCCTGTCCTCTGCAGCAGCACATCTGTGATTTTATGTTAAGTGTTTATTTGCACTGCAGAACCAAAAAGCCCCGGTTATGAACAGGGGTTAAACTATGATGAGTACTTGACAGGTCCAGGATGTAAAGATGGCCTTTACGCCAAACAGCTTCTTCATATATACTTGCCTAGTGAGAATGGATGATTCTCCAGCATTATAGTTTTTGCTGTGAATGAAGTGTGGACAGATGACAGGCTGGTGATTTTGAAAGGTGAGAAAGTGCAGGGGTAGAGACAAAGGACCTCTGCTAAAGCAGTGGTGCAGGGTGGAAGCAGCAGAGTTGACATTAATGCTGCAAGCTGTCAATCTTCTTCTTCCTTGTGAGGCTACCAGGAAAAGAAACAATTAGCCCTAGATATTAAAGGGGGTTTGTGATGTCACAAAAATGGGGTTACATATATGCTCGATGCTGAGCTAATACTGCAGACTCTTCACACAGCGAATCACCATTGGCTCATTTATTAATAGTGAATATCTGTAGTCTTCAACATACATGAATGCCATGTGTTTATACATCCCCAAGTCCTTCCAATCTCTGAAGCACTGTTTGACAGCAACGACTCAGCTTCAGTTTGCATCCTTGCAATCTTCTTTATCAAAAGCTTGCGTATGACTCTATGAGGTTCCAACCTCTTTTGAATGCCAAAGAGGAGATGGAGCAGCTGTAAGGGAACAACATTGATTTGAAACAACAATCATCCACACACAAAAAGTGGATTTCTTACAAATCAGGTCAAAGT